CCAAAGCACAGCCCTGAAGCCGCCTCAGAGGACTGTCCCTCAGCAAACCCCTGTGTTTATAACACATGTGAGCCCAGCCCAGAATCCCACTCCTGGCCCACTTTCCCTTGTGGGAAGCATTGTGGTCTCCCTGTCTGGCAAGGGCACTCGAGCAGCTCAAGAGAAGCAGCTGCCACTTGTGTTTGTGCCCCGTGGGCTTCCTTGGCCATGTCCCACAAGTGCTGTCTGACAATATTATAACAATATATTCTTTGGTTCCACTTGTGGCTCCCAGAGCATCCAAAGGTCTCCTGGAGTTGTTCCAGGAACAGACCTCCTTTAGCCATTGGTGCAATGCCAGGGAGTCTGGTAATGAGCCCATCTGAGGGAAGGTGGAACAATGTGCATCCGGTGTGATTAATGGCATCCAGGAAGGTAGAAGAGAACGTTTATTCCGGAGCTTCCGATTGTCTGGGCAGTAGTAAGATTTGTTGTCAGATGCTTTAGATTAGCTAACAATTAATATTAATGATGCACTCTTTTGTGCTGCTGGGACATGCTCCCCTTTGTATTTGTGTGTGCTGTAGCACCCAGGCTTCCCGTGGGCTTGATTAACAATAACCTAATCATAAATCATGTGATTTGGATTTCTAAAGAGCGTGTTTATGCTGTGACTTCACCGAATCCCACTGTCTCTGCCTGTGAAAAAGCTGGTATGAGTAAGATAAGAACAAGGCCAATGCAGAAGGGTCTGTTTTGATACAGGCACTTAACTCTTGCCAGGTCTGGGCACTCAGGAGCTTGTGTATGTGATTATACATTACTTGTAAATCAGTAACTTAGCATAAATATGCTGTGATATATATATATAAACAGACTCTGATAGGCTTCAAAAAGTCTAAAATACAGGGTTTGACTGTGAAAAATATTTTGAGAAATGCAGGGCCTGCTTCTTTCCCCTTCTGTTTATGTAAAAAACATAATACTGAAGAGAATCCTGTGTGGCTCTGATGAGCAGACTGGTTGGGGATGCAGTCATAAATCTCCTGGCCTACAAAAGCAGCGGTTCAGCATCGTCTCCATGGCAACCCATGGAGCAAGAAATGAAATCTGATATGAAGAGTCTCACCAAGGAGAGCCGTATGCGAGTCACACACTTGCCAAGGCAGAGTGCTGGTGAAGCAGAGAAAATAAGATGCATTTTCTTTTACTTGTTGCTTTGTTCAGAGTATTCCTGCCATGGATGAAAGAGGCTGACAAACCAGCCATTATTCCATGGCCTTCAACTACTCGGAGCCAGGCCAGGGGCCAGCGGAGCGGCCGAGAAACAAGAGCGGGCTCTGCCAGCACTTGAGCTCATAAATGAACTCAGCTCACAGCTGCATCTCTGAGCTGCTTGTGTTCCCCTGCTTAATGTCAACCTTGTTTCCCCTTCCAGTGACATGGAACTTTTGTGTGTGCACAAATAAAACCAACGTGTGGTCGATAGCTCCTAAGGGGACAGAAATATTCCCGAGTGCTGGAGGGCCATGTTCACCAGAACGGCCAAAAGCAGAGAAAGGAGACTCAGTGAAAAGCTGAATGACCTCACCTACTTTCTTCCTGCAGAATTCCTAGGAGACACTAGGCTCTGAAAATCACTTATCAAAACCAGACGTCAGAGAAATAGCCAAGGCATACCCCAGAATTCCTGCGGGAGGACACAAAAGTTCAGGCATTTCTCAGACAGCTGAGGTGGATCTTGGCTGCCCTGCTGGGGAGGAGCCCTTCATGTCCTGCAGTGAAACACCTTCCATCAGTACAGGAGGAGGCTTTCACCTCCTGCACAGGCAAACATGGAGACACTGATTCAGCCAGCAGCAAGTGACAGACAAAAAGAGCCTGGAGTCACTCTCTTTGCTGATTCCAATGTGTCGGTGATGCCAGCCATGAGCTGACACCAGGGAGTTGTTGGAGGCAGCACAGTCCTCCTTTGACGTACCAGCAGCTGCACCATGCTTTGATGTCTCCACAAAACTCTGTGTTTTTCAGAACCTTCTCTAATGGTGAAATTGCATTCTCTCCCTGGTGCCATCAGCCCCTTGATTCCTTCCCTGCACCCTGTGAGGCAATTTTTAAGTTCATCAACGTTTTCAGAGCTGCTGCTTAGAAGTGGAAGCCACAGTGATTTATGAAAAGGTGCTTCATTTTCTGAACCAGTTGTACTTTTCCTTTCATGTTTTTGCTGGTTGCTAGGTATTCTGGGGGCTTTATTTATCACATCCTTTTGGGTGCTGCAGTGTGAACAGTAATTCCATATCCCAGGTGGTGTCAGCTTGTGATAAATGGGAGCCATTGTTGCTTCCATAGGAAACAATGACAGCCAAGAGGGACAATTTGCTGCAGTCCACAGGAATGCAAAAATAATATGTCACTACTCTCTACAGCTAATGAAGATAAACCCTTGGAGCAAGCCCTTTTGGGGGAGAAATGAATGTTTTTGCCTAAGATTTAAGTCTACTTTTTTTTTTCCTCATATTGGGGTAGATTAAGCAAGAAAACAGCAAATTTACTCAGGGTTTTCCCCCCAGACTAAGAAAAAACAATGGTTCAACAGGCTGAAGGACAAGTTTTATTAATATATCTCCAGTATATTTCCCTGTACTGTTCACTGGTCTTCCCAATAGATTTTCTCCTGTATTCTTGTTTTTTAGCTCAAAAGCACCCTCCTATACAACATGCTGTGATAATTTTTCATTTCTTCTTGCACACTTTTACTGGGTAGGTTTTTCAACATGAAGTGGCAGCAGCTCAGCGTTATATTTAATCAGATATTTACGTAACAACTCAGATCCCCAAACTGAGTTAATTTACTGTGAAGTTTTGCAAAGTCTGCTTTTAGAAAAGATGCCTCAAAAGAACAAAATACCTAAATCAAAATCTATGGGAGAACCAAGTTCACATGATGGAGAGGGTGTTGCCATCACATCTGGTGCCTTTTCAGTCTCATGAGCGCCTGGAGCATCTTCACCAACCAGGTTTGAGGCACCACACCAGTGTTTCCTGTACTTGGAGCTGTTTGAGGACTTCTGTCTGTCAGATATTTTTATTTTCACTGAGAATCAGTAAAATAAATTCATTAATTACTGTACATAGTGAGATATCAGTGCCATTTAATTTGAACTCTTGAGTTTTGGAAATAAGTGCAATATAGAAGAGATGGGTCTTGTTTTACATCTCTTTTTTAATCAGAGATTTTGTGAGCCTAAGACTAAAAATCACATGGCAAAATCTTTGAAATGTGCCAACATTTTAGGACTCTTGATAGTGGATATTAAACTCAGAAGTTCCCAGTAATTGCAGTTGGGTTTTCAGAGTGTTCACTGATGTTTTGTGACATTTGTAGGCATTGTTAGGTGCTCGGGCACAAGGAATTTCCTCAGGAGCTGTGCTACCCAGAGTGTCTGGCTCATTCATCTGCCAGCTAAAAAATCCTGTGAGGCAGCAAGAGGAGGATGAAAGCACTGGTCACGTTGTCACAGGTGACCAGCCCAGCCTACGGCCACCCAAACAGTCTCAGTGGGGAGGTGGCAGCCAGACAGACCCTGCTGCCCTTGGCTGCTGACATAGAGCAGAGCAGAGCAACTGCCCAGAGCAGGTTGTGCCTCAGGTTTCAGCCCTGAGAGGGTGTTCCACTGGAGCACACTCCACAATCCTGCCCTGGAAACACCCTTGCACCAGCTAGGAAGCCCTGTCCTGATGGGAAACAACAGAATCACAGAATGGTTTGGGTAGGAAGGGACCAAACTCTTGCCAGGGGTACCTTCCCCTGTCCCAGGTTGCTCCAAACCCCATCCAGCCTGGCCTTGCATAGTTTCAGGGATGGGGCAGCCACAGCTTCTCTCGGCAACCTCACGGCCTTCACAGGGAAGGATCTGGCACTGAACTCAGTTTACTGCTGCTTCAGCTGATCATAAAATGGCAAAACTTGTGGCCGAGGCTTCTGGCAGTTCCTGGCTGCATTGTTTGCACTGTAAGACACTCATCCTTCCCAGGCAGCTTTTGTCAATGAGATATCCATGTTTTTTGAATATAAATATGAGGTGAGCTTCAGGGAACACAGATCTATTCCTTTTTCTCTCCTTAGAGGGGTGATTCAGGATGATGGGTAGGGATCAGTTGGACAGACTCGTGTGTGTTGTCCAGAACTCAGTCACTAGGAATTCCTTTGGGATCTGTGCTGCTCAGTGTGTCTGGGTCGTGTGTCTGTCATTCTGTGATGTGAGTTACCAATCTGTTTGCATGTCCTGGGCAGGCAGAATTGTGTGAAAAGAAACCTGGGAGAAGATTCCATAGTGTGCAGGAAACCCCAGTCTAGACAAGCTGAAGGTGGTTCATTATTCAAGGCTGCTGCATTTCTGCTGTGGAATGAAGACAGCGAGTGATTAGCCTTGTTATTGTCTCCATAGTGCTGGTTTAACAGAATTTGTGAGATTTAATCTATCTGGTGAGCAGGTCAATTTTTGGCACCTCTCACAATTAGTCAGCAGCTGTAATTGCAATGCACAGCCTGAAATGTTGTGTTGCTCTCAGCTGACTGAGACACAAGGACATGTCTACTTCCAGTCCAGTGGCAAGTTCATCAATTCCATCATTCCATAATGCAGGAATGCAGCCAAAATAGCTGAAATATGGGATATTATGGCTTATCACCATTTTCCAGAGCCAGTCCCAGGCTGGGAATTGTGTCTTGCCCAGGCTTTGAGTCACCAAAGCGTAGAGCTGAGGCTACAATTGCAGAGTGTGGGGGCTGTTCCTTGTATCTCAGGGAGGAATTTCACCTCTCCTCTCTCAGGGCTGCTTGTGAAGGGCAGTGAAGCAGCCCGAGATGGCCTCACTGGAGCATCACACCATGCTGTCATTTTCCATGGCAACTGGAGCAGGGATAGTCTCACATTCCCGTGGCATGTGCCATTATCTGTGTGCATCCTGGTGGCTGATGCTCAGCTTTGACTTCAGTAAAGCGGCAGCCACCATGGGGAACAGAACACACTTGAAAATCAAAATAACTTATAAGGTACTGTGAAGTCTTTTCCTGTCACTCTTTAGTTCTAGGGTGGGGCTGGAGTGAACGAAAATGCTGCCAGCAGCAGTTGGATCCAGCCGGGTGGCGGCACTTTGTGTTCCAATTGTCTCTGAGGGCCGCGGCTTTCAGCGAGCCCCAAGTTAATGAAACTGCAGCGTCAGTGGCTCCAGCCTAACAAAAGGAGTGGAGCCCCAACTGAACACACATTTCCCCTCTGCAGTAAGTAATTGGGGCAGGACAAAAGTTCAGTCTTTGGAAAAGGCCCAGCTCTGCCATTGCGTTTCTTTGGCACAGATCAACAGGGATTAAGCTGTGACCCATGGAAGTTCCTACTAGAACTCCTCTGTGAATACAACTGCTGTCACTGCACATGGCAGGGGAAGTGGTTTGTGCAACCGCAGAGTGTCTGTGAAACACTGTGGTCAGACCAGGGCTGAAAGTGAAGAATATCTGATGTGAAGTGAGTAAACCCCAAACACAGTGACCAAAAGGTTTGAAATTTGCTCTAGGAAATAATTCTGTAGAGTAAGTGTGAATGTCCTGATCAATGTCCTGACCAAGATTTTATTAAATTTAACAGTTACAAAGCAGAGATTTACCGGGAGCTGTACAGGTGGTCTAGAACCCCTTCGTAGCACAGGTCAATGCAATTGTGTCTTCTCTCTGCCTCCAATCTCCCTCCAGCTCACCTCAAAAAGAACATTTTTCAGTGTGAAACCTGTTTGCCAGTACTTGAGAGGAGATGTGAGAGCAAGGGGATCATTAAAAAGTCCTAATCTGAATTTGTAAGCAGTTAAGGAGGTGTGTGGGGAAGGTGAGCATTGCACACAGGTTTAGCAGTGACTTCCCCATCTCTTTCCCTGCTCCTTCCTCCCTAGACCAGATTGCCTAGAAACAGCTCTGGACAGTGGAATGTCTCTGAAGGTGGGATGTGCAACACACACACTGGGCTCAGCTGCTCCAGAGTTATTCTTGTGAGAGAACAATACAGAGAAAACACTAAATCATTTATTCCCTGCAAATGTCAATTAAACATTAATCAAATGCTAAGGTAGAACATGGGCAATCCGAGCAGTGTTTATTCTGCTGCTGAGTAGCCAATTCAATTAAAAAGGAGAACCTTCTCCTACACTGTTTTATTGGAAACTTATAGACTTGTTCATTTTTAAACCTAAGAATCAGAGTAATCTGGGCCATGTAAAATTACAGAAAAATATCTGTGTTTAAATGATTAATAGTGAATGATTTTATAATGCTTTTTGCATAGTTGGGGTGCTTTGCTGAGCTGTGAACCACTTTAGTGAAACAATTGCTAGTCCTGTCACTGAAATGGGTCAATACACTGTGGATTTACATGATTTTGTAGTACCCTTTCATATAAGCATTGTAAAGGCAACACATCCTGGCAGTGTCACCATGACCCGTGTCTCTAGGCAGAGTGATTTCAAGCTTTAGTTCTCCTTATCAGAAACAGAGGAAGGAATTTGCTGGACTAGAATGATGAGCTTTAGGCATTTAGGTGGGACTGGGGAGATCTGTGATTCCTGGCTCTCAGCTCCCAGCCGCAGGGTGACAATGAGCTAGACAATTTGTAGGAGCATCAGCACTTCCTCTGTAAGGATGCTGCTCTCCTCCTTGGTAGGGATCCTTAAAGCTTCTCATGCATTTCAGCCACCACCATAACTGTGGCAATACTATGGCCAGCCATAATATCTAGTTAGCTGCCCTGGGAGTGTGCCGATATGGTAAAACGTCATGCAGAGCCCAAATCCGGTCTCAGGGAGAGTCTCTGAAGATGGGAACGCTATGACACTGCCTCCCGATCTCCTAGGTGACAGGAGCTTGTGTCACTAATTGGTCCCGAGCCTGCGGCACCGAGGTGACGTGATGGGGCTGAAAGGCAGCAATTGCAGCTGAAGGGATTTGGTAAAGAATTCGGTGAGAACGAATGTTGGGCGTGAACACAGGGGATTTAATCTGTGTTTGTTCACACAGACCTGTTGTCTAGCGAGTTACTCCGAAGAGGAGCCTCGGGCTGCAGGATTAATGTAAGAACCATACTGGGTAAATAATGTTTTTTCTGTGACCAAATCACAGGTACAAAATAAATCTTTTGGTGAAGCCGAAACCTTTTGGTTTGTTTAGAGCTCACTCACACATGCCTGCATGGTGTAGAATTCATCCTTTTGAGGAGGTATTTGCCATCTATCCCACAAATTGCTTTGCTGCTGTCTTGGTACCAAGTTAAAATTGTGAGTCAGCTAATTGAGCTTGAAAAACAGTTTAATCCTATTACAGCACATAAGACACTGCCTTTTTTGTTTTTCTTTCAGTAATGCTTGTTCATGCACTACTCTCAGATATTAAGAATACATTGTAAGAAGTCTGTCTCCTCAAAATAAAGCATGGAGCCACAACAGGTAAATGAGCATTACATTTCTGCAGTCCTTGTCACTGGGACTCCCCAGTTCACTTCACCTGTGCCTTGGTTCATCACCATTTCAGAAACCATTGTGCAGATAGTGTGCTAAAATACTTGGGTGTGTATTTTCCCTCATACACTTAACCTGTAGCAAACACCTGGATTAGAAGCAGCAGGTACCAATAAACCAGGGCATTGTCTTTTCCATGTGAGGCAGTGTGATCAGAAGGAGAGTAGCAGCACTCATTTACTTACTGAGGTAGAACTATTATTACAGTAATATTAGTAGAAGTAGTAGTATTACTATATTAACATAGTAATAGTAGTAGTAATAACAGTGAAGCAGCTGGCCTTTCAAGAAATGTCTGGGCATGGGAAATTTTTGGAGTGAGAAGCCCTCTGCCTTTAGGGTTGTGGCACAGGGCTCTGCTGTGACTGACCTTGCAGCCCTGCTTGTTGGCTTTGGAGGAACAAGTTTGTGAGCTCATTATTCCAGAGCAAAACTCTTCTTAGTACCTGTGACTCTTTTCTGCTTGCAGAGGTTGGCTACTCTCCAGTGCTGCTGCTCTCCTGATCTGGGTGACCTTCAAAGGAGCAGCAGTCCAAGCTGGATTGTTCTGGGACAAAGGCTTGTTCCCATGGCCTGGAACTCGGTGTCCACGGGACACTCAGCCACTCACTGACCTCACTTCCTTCACCTTCCCAAGGGCTTTATAAGCATAACCCAGCAGCAGGGACAATCTGTATCATGACAGCCAAATCTGCTGTTGTAACCACTACCATATTCCGTAGTCCTGTGCTGAAACAGGGACATGCAGGTAATGGATATTTTATTCCAATACTTTGTGCATGTGGAGCAGTATATTTCCCTATGTATGTGTCAGAGCTTGAAAGGAGGATCCATTTTTAATGAGCTATACCATGCATAGCTAATGCAGAAACTTAATTTTAGACACAGATTTTGGTTTCATCCATTAGGGAACACTCTAAACCCCTGTGGTGAGTTAGGATGGCACAAGGAGGATGCTATTCAGTGGTGGCTTGGAGCACTAGGTAAGAGGTGCAGGTGCCTCAGTCCCAGCCCCTGGATATTGCCAAGCACAGCTGCTACATACATAATGTAACAGCCTGTTCCAGATGACCCATTCCAGAACCTCTTAAAGGCTCAGTTCCCTGCAGGCAAGGACTAAAAATAAGTCATATGAGAGGGGTACTAGCTCAGCTAATTAGCCAAGGAGCAGAGTACTGACTGCTGCACTGATAACAGTGTCTAGCTGCTTGTTCCAGTGCCTGGTACTGCCCACAAGGATCAGGAAGATCCTGCCCAAAGGTGAATTTCACAGTGCATCTGCTGTGCTGAAATGAGAAGCTCTCCAGCTTAGGACCCAACCTCTTTGGCCAAATCCCCAACCCTTTATGTTCTGGTGATACAAAGCTTGCATGAAGCTGGCCTGGGGTTCCATCTCACTGAAGATCCATTATCAAAGTCCTGACCTGCCTGTGTGATAATTTAAGTCTATCATGATCACATTGCTGTTAGTGCACCCCACAATGTTCTGGGCTACAAATAGAAGAGGTCAGACTCTCAGTCAGACCAGATGTAGAGGCACAAATACAACAAGAGGAATTTTTCCCAGCTGAATTTCTGTTGCATCCCACTTCTTTACCTGTTCTGTTTACTTCAAAGTGACAGTTCTCCTTCCTGGAGAAGTGGACTGCAAATTTGGGGTGTAACATAAACTTCTCTTTCTCCTAGATCTGTTTTGGTTTTAATATTTTTATTATTATTTTTCAGCAGTCAAGGACAATTGTCAAGTACTTCATTTATTCTGATTGGAAGTAGCAGAGCAGTACCATCAAGGCCTTTGTGCCTCAGGAAATCACTGAGGTCCTTTATGGCTGCTGAGCATATCCATCTAGAAGGACCTTTTTGCAATATTCTCCCTCCCCTGCCACTTGTTTATTCATGCATCGACAATGACAAGCAGTTAAAAGTGAGCTTACTCTTGCACTTGTAGTATATTAAAATTAAAGAGCTGTGCTTCCAAGAATTGCACTCTCCTTCCCTAAACACAATAAGAAAAGACAGACCTGAGCAAAGTGCACCAGGAGATAGGATATGAACCTCGTTCAGCTCCTACAATTAAATACAGAGATCCACAATATCAAAGGGCACCTGGGTAAATTAAAAGAAAAGCCTGTATGGAATGGATCCATCTTTGGAGCAGCTTCTTATGGATTAGAATGATGTGAAGATTTATCAGTCAAGGCAAAGGTGAATGTGTCTGGGATTTAACTGTTTGAGCAGAGTGCACTTCTGGTTTGAATTCAACATAAAAGCTGAGCCAGACTGATACCAGTGGAATGGGGAAGTAGCTGTCCTGGACCTGAGAGGAAGTAACTGTCAGAGTCAGTGAGAGTCTTTTTGTTCACAGCAAATGACACTGGGGTGGAATCGTGTCCCCAGGATGTGTGGCTGAACCAGGCAGGAGAACCTCTGGATACTCCTAGCACAGTGCAGCAGGGAGGCAGATGGGGGAGGTGAATGCTGGGGGGCGGGGCAGGCACAGCCAGTGGTGAATCGGGAATTCTGGGCAGCACTGCAGCCAATTCAAGTGGGAGTGACAGTGCAAGGGAGGACAGCACACTCCTGGGAGTGCTGGGCCAGAGACACTGAGAAAACCCAAACCTGGAACACGTGGGAGTGACTCACATGGAGTTTGGTAGGAGTGAAGCTGCTTGGACTCATGCAGAGTTGGTCCAATTTAGCATGAGCATTTTCTAGGACACGAGTGAGAGCATCCCTCCTTGCCCAAGGAGTACTTTTCATTGAGGAAGGCTCTTGTTCCCACAGTTGAGATTCCCACAATGCCACCTTAGTTCGAGGCACTCCAGCATCCGGGAGAGTAAGGCAGGGCTCTTGAGTATCCAGGACAGCAGGACCGGAGGCCAAGGAGCAGAGATTAGAGGAACAACACACACTTGACTTTTTATTGTAAATTATTCCACATCCTTCCTACCACACCAGTTGGAGCCATCCAGATACATCTGCAGAGTAAACATGTGTCCTAAGAATGGAATACTTCTGCCCTGCCCTTTGTTAAGGCCTCCACTGGTTCAAAAGTCACTGGGGGCAAGTAATAGCTCCTGGTGCCAGGTGAGAGAATTGTAGCCTCATTTCCATTTCAATATATACATTGCTCTTCCAGTTCACAGCTCTTTCATGGCAGTTTGATGATATCTGGGGAGGAGGAACAAAGCAGGGATCTGAAGACATATGTCTGTATGCTGAGCTCTTTCTGCAGCAATTAAAAAATCATATCACTTTGAATTACGAGGGGCCCTTGAAAACCTTCCCTTCAGAGCTGTGAAACTTCAGAGGAGCCCAGTGCTGCCAGCCTTGCTGCCTTGCTGCCTTGCCCTGCTCTCCAATTTCCATGTACACTTTATTCCTTGGAGTAAAATGGGCATGTGCAGTGTCTCAGTGGTCCAGCCTCTGGTGCCACCCCAAAGGAGCCTCTGACTTGACCAGAGTGTGAGTAGCCTGGTAGACTTGTGCTGAACCTCAGTCTTAATTATATCAGAATATAGATATAGGTATATATAACATCAGTTAGTAATATGCAGAGTTTCCCATGCAAGGAGTGGTAAAACTTTATGGAACTGAGATGATGGATTGATCACAAGGGCTGGCTGCTAGCTTAAAGCAAATTATTCTCAACACTTGGCTAGGCCTTTGCTAGGCCTAAAGGAGCTGTCTGTCCAACATCCATAGCCCTCAAAGCCTATAGACCAGTGGTGCTCTCTCTGATGAGTGAGGGCTCACTTCATTCCTGGAAGTGCTGCAGAGCCATGGGGCTCCCTCTGGAATGTGGAGCAGAAATCCTGCAGATGCTTAATGCACATATTTCTCTGTGATGACAGGACATCTTATTGCAATTAGTTTGAGGGACCAAAAGGGGTTTGGGAGGATCTAGTTAGGAAGAAGAGAGAGAAAATAGGGTGTGGAGACCTTTTAACCATTTCCTCAGTGTGTGGTGCATGACTGTGACTGATTTATTGTGCCTGAAGTGGAAGATAGAGAATCTCAGAGCTTTGCATGCCAGGTCAGTGTCAAAGATACATCCAGATCCACAGAGGACATCCACATTGTGTGAGCCCACTCATTGTTCCAACATTAATTTGAGATCATGAAGCCTGTTTTCAATGGCTAGGCCACTCTTCCCTCAACTTTGCTGCTCCCTAGCATATCCCGAGTTGTTTTTTGCTCAGAGGGCTGCCTGGGCATTAAATATCATTTACATTTCCATCTTTCTATTTTGACTGTGAGAATAACTCAGTTTGCTCCCTTAGACAATTCCTAGGTATTAACTGCTGTTTTATTAGCTTGTTCAGAGGTGTTCCTTGTTCACATGTGAGCTGTGATCTCAGGAGAAGATAAATAAATGCTCCCATCCTAGGAAACATCAGTGATGGACTTTAGGCTTAACAATCCATTTATATTTGTTCTCTCCAGAAGAGGAAAGGCTGGAGATTTGGTTTTGGTTAAGGAAAATCCTTTCTTGCATCACTGGAAGTGGGCAGAAGAGCAGGTTGGTGTGAGAGCCACAGGCCCTGGCTCTGAGCAGTGAAAATATACCCAAGAGAGCTTGGCATGGCTGAGTGTTTCCTTAACAGAGCTGCAGGAGAGGGGAGCATCTGGTGGAATTAATTGCCTGTAATTTTCTGGAGGGGATGGCTGAATGGGAATGGCTGCAGCAGAGCAGAGATCAGAAGCTGGGAGGTGGACAGGTTTTGTTTTTCAAGAAAAGCTGTATCTGATAGAGGATCTCAAAAGGAAAAGCTGCATGCAGAGACTGTCTTAAGACATTGATGTGTCCCAAAAGCTTCAGCTGCTGAAAAAACATAATGTAGAAAATTCAGGTGCCTGTACCAATAAACGGCACAGACATATTGGCTGAGAGTTCCAAGTCCCCTTTTCCAGTAGCTTGT